CCTGGAGAGTTTCAAGCAGCAACAGTGAAACCGTCCTCTCCCTGACCTAGCAAACTGACCGCCCCAGGCCTGTCCTGGTCATGTCTGCTGCATTCCTGGCTGGCTGTGCCTGGATCATGGCCTTCGGTTAGCGACATCTACAATCATGACCTATTCATTTCTCCATGGTGATACCTTGGAACCACTTACGTCAGTTTAGAAGGCCCTGCTCAGTAGGGTCCCCTTGTAACAATAAAGTCTATTTAAACCTAGGAAAAAATAAAGAAAATATAAATACTTCATTGGCAAGTTAACAGCTGGAATGAACTTATGGCAAAATATTTGATGCTGTTGTTCCAAAGACAAACACAGCTCTCATGAGTAACAGTTGAGCCTTTATGGTGCACAAAACCCCATGGCCCAGTGATTCTCAACCTGACGGAATCATTTGAAGACCTCTGAAAACAGGATGGCCTGCTCTGCGCCCCCAGAGGTTGATGTAAGTGGTTGAGAAGGGACCCTGGCATTGTTCAAGTGAGGAGTTCTGCCGTTTTTTATTTCCTTGGGTGATCTTAACATACAGCGACAGTTCCAGACCCACTCACTGCCTTAGACAAAAATGAAAATACTTAATGCATGATCCTCAATCATGGCCCAGAATTACATAAAACTTTACAGATACGCTGTATTTACAGTGATGGCAAATGCCTGATGCTAAAATGAGTCATGTGGTATTGTAAGTTTTTCTGCGAGTGTTTTGGAGCTTGAGCATGTTAAACCACTGTGAAAGAAATCAACACTAGATAATCTTAATAAAGGACTTTACCCACGGTGAACAAACATACCAGTTTGATTATTTTATAGGTGCAGTGATTCTCTTGGGAGCACTTTATCTAATGATTCTACTTCCCCAAAGAAAAGCTTTTTGTTAATTATAGGAGTTTTGAAATAGACTCAATTCTAAACTTAGGGAATCTCATTTTTACTTTAGAATTGATAATGTCTTTAAAATCAGTGAATTTACGTGATGACTAAGGCTCCATGAATTAGATGTTTGTTCCTGCAATTCAGTTATCTATTCCCCGTCCTGGCAGTGTTTAAAAACTAAAATTACTGGCACGTTTCCATGAAAAACATTCAATAGGTATTACTCCATTTCAGGTATAATCGCAAATAAATGACTCATTAAACCGCTGTGGATATAACTATTTTTCTTAAATCTGGAAGCAAATATCATTGACTAGTTATGGATCATAGGATGCTTGTCCCTTTCCTAAAATCTTTGAAGCACTTCTTATATTTGCCATTTATCTCACTACTTAATCCTGTGGTCACTGCTTTTTGCATTCTGATGTGAATATAAAACAAATGATCTGCTGTAATACACAGGTCTCCTAACCATCAGTTTCAACCTGCTCCTTAGTCTAATAGAGCTAGGAGATAAATTTCACCTTTTCCTCTTTACCTAAAGAGCGCTTTGAACTATGAAATAGCCATAGACAAAACAGTAATAATCCAACTTGGATAATTCCTAAATAACCAAACATTAACTCTGCAATCTGAAATTTAATGATTACATTTAGAAATATGGCATTACTCCTACTGCAATTAGTTTACTATTTCAACAACCAAGGCAATGTGACCTTGAAAGATAGAAATGACTCAGCCTTTACTTACCAAATCTCAAAATCCTAGAATTTTAAGTATAAGAGATAAAGTCTACTTCAATAAAAAGGAATTAGTACTTGACAAGTGACAAATTCACAAACCTTGTATTACTTCATTTATAAAACAAAAAATAATTGAAATAATTTTCTTAAAACATTTCCAAAACTGTCACTGCCCGAGAGTTAACCAAATAAAACAAGAAACTGCTCATTGATTTTCCTCAATCATCCTTTTTTTGAGAAGCGGTACAATGGAATGATGGAGCTAGAGATCCGAAGCCAGACATGCTGGCTTCCAGTCTTGGCTCTTCCTTCCACTTACTTGCTCTGACCCTGGGCAAGTTATTCTTATGTGCTTCCTGTTTCCACACCTTCCTCTCCTATAAAATGGCACTGTTGCCCGTACATACTTGCCTCGTAGAACTGTTGTGCAGAATGTAAATAAGAGTGCCCGCAGCATGCACACTACAGCGCTCCTTGACCTACGATGGGCTTACATCTCAAACCCATCGTAAGCTGAAAATAATCCTAAATCAAAAATGCCTTTAATATGCCTAACCTACCTAACCTCAGAGCTAAGCCTGACCTACCTTCAATGTACTCAGCACGCTCACATCGGCCTACCGTTGGGCGAAACCATCTCACTGCCGCTGACAGCCTCATGAGACTGTCATGCTGCATATTGCTACATGGTTAGGAACGAAGGCATCTGTTGCCTGGTTATAATTTTATCTGTGCCACCTACCAGCTGTGTGACCTTTCGCAAGTTACTTCTCCACCTCAGTGTCCTTACCTGTAAAATCTAGGTAATTGTTATCTCACAGGGTTGTTGGATTGAGTTAATTCATGTAAATCTCCTAGAACAGGGCCAAGAGTCAGCACCCAAGAAAGTTATGTTATTAAAATCTATCAGTATAAAACATTTCCCTGGTATTAGTGACATAACTATATAAAAATATATCTTGATTTGCCCAGAAAAAAAAAAATCCTAAAATCTAATACTTCCATTTTTTAGTTGTTTATATTGGTACCAGACATGAGGTAGTAATTACGAATGCAAAGGGAAGTACAAGAGTCATGTCTTCGTGCAACTAACCGATCGCCTGAAGACCAGCCCCTAGGCTAGAAAAGAAAATCAGAGACTTGGACTTGAGAACATCTTTCAGAGCGCTGTCTCACATGACAGGGACTGCACGAAATATTTTCATTGAACATCTTGTTTCTGTCTTCTATGTGTAAGTTAGAGTTCTCAATGTTCATTCATTCTCTTCCCAAGGATTCTTTAAAACCAAGAGCATTAATACTGCTAGTTAATGATGCCAGTAGCATTATCGAAAGGAGGAACAAATTCTGCTTATCAAGACAGCCATCACCTCAATAACTTTATCCAATTTCTCACAAACTGATAGCAAACAAACATAAGTAGTTGGCTTACAACAGAATGAACTGGTGTTTTAGTTTGAAGAATTTTAAAGCAAGCCAAGTAATTGTATAAAATTTAAATTTTATGACCATGTTTGGACCTTTTTTACATTAAACACAATGGAAATGTTCATATTCATTTTTTTTCCCAAAGGAAAAATTTCTGAATCATCACTATGTTGCACAGTAGAATAAAAATATGAGTTCAGGTACTTATTCAAGTTTCTAAAGAATGCAAATAACAGACATGATTTTACTTCCAGAGTCTGAAGTCATCAACATGATTTTGTAGTACTGTATCTCAGGCTTTACCTAAAAATACATTATTCTTCAGATAAAGATAGCCCCCTAATCACATTTTTTAAAAGCCTCTGCCCCACCACAACTTCCTGAGATCTGTGAAGAAACTGCAGTCTTGTGATCAGGCTCCATATAGTAGTGGCAGTTTTGTAATCACATGGAAAAAACGGTGACTGATTTTATGTGTCAATCAGTTGCAGTCTGCTGATCTGATTAGAAGCCTTGACAAATGCCTGGTGGCGATTGCAAATAACTGCCAAGCATATGGGGATAATACAGTAGCCCACCGTTTTAGGGTCAGCTCTTGTACAAGAGTAAAGGAACAAAAACATCTGTAAGTAAGGTATCAGAAAAATAACTGTCCAAAACCAAAACGGCAGGGAGAGTAACCGAGCTTTCAAGGAGTGCGTCCATGTGGTTCCTTCAAGGGGCTCCTCTGGGTGCTGCTGAATGTGTTCCAAGGCCAGCCTGTTGTAAGTCTCATTAATTTCAAAAACATAGTAAAATGCTGCTGCACTTGCTAATAGATACAATCCCACTCCAATCCATCCCATCCGCTGGCGGAAGTTCATCATTCTCCATGCTCTGTGCCTTCAAATTAAAAAACAAACAAACAAGCAAAAAACCCAGAAAATACAGTTAGGGTCTCGTAATGCTGTCACATCTATTCCAAATGTACTTGCTTTATTTCCAATGAGTTCCGAAATACTCCACTATCGCATTTACATTTTAAAAAATTAAAATTACATTAAGAAATGTAAACAACTTACAGGTTGTTTTATGGAATAGTTATGAAGAAGTTCAAAAAGTTTCATTATCTATTAAGTCTGCTTTTATGTGAATCCCACAGAATAAATAAATAATTATATCTGGTTTAAAGAGGTTCAGGACACCTTCTATTAAGACACGAATTAAACTAGTGTCCTAAGGAACATTTCACTTTCACAGTTCAAAATTTTTTTGACTTAATAGTATTGTTTCAGACGTGAAAATTTGGTTCTACACGTCAAACCGATGTCGGGGCCCCCAAGTCAAGACAGTAACTCTTAAACACTTACAGTGGTCCCGAGAATCTTCCTGTTCCCACGGCAAGCGTTAAAGAGTCACTCAGTTCTGAATAATCAGGTGGCTTTGGCATTTCAGAGAAAGCCACCATAAAAGAAATCCCCGGGGTCACCGGCTGGGAGAAAGGTGAACGCGACCAGCCTGGAGCACAAGCTAATTGTGATTAAGCAAAGCGTGACTGCGGCCGGTCACGCGGCGGTCCGGCCCCAGTCGCTGCTGCCGGAGCCCCTAGCCTGTGTCGCCTGGCG